CTACCATTTTGGACTATCTATCTTTTACTTAAAATCAGTTTTAGAAATATGTGTAGATTTATTTGATGGGATGAAAAATTTAACTTCATCTTACTCCTTTAAAATACATACCCACACATAGACACATATTCGTCAAGGAGTTGAGTGGTTAGAAATTTTTCTTATAAAAAGGTGGAGTTACAGTGCAGGTTACAAAAGCGTAGCTCAATAAAATAGAGTAGTGATGAAGACATATAGGATCCACACACACAGGGTCACCATGAGTGAGAATCAATTTGCTAGCAACTAACAAAAACAATGCTGGTTGCAGGATGGGTCTCTAAATCCTATGGTCAGTTCACAAAAGTTGCAGCAGTACACTGACTGTGACTTGCTAGAGGTTCAAAATGGATTCAGACGAGGATGTGGAACAAGGGATATCATTGCTGATGTCAGATGGATCTTGGCTCAAAGCAGATCATACCAGAAAGATGTTTACTTGGGTTTTATTGACCACGCAAAGGTAATCGACTGGGCGGACTGTATGAAACTATGGACAACCTGGTGAAGAATGGGAATTCCAGAACACCTCATTGTGCTCCTGGGGAACTGGTACGGGACAAGAGGAAGTTGTGTGAACAGAACAAATGGAACACTGCAGGGTCTAAAATTAGTTATGGTGTGTATTAGGGATGTATTACCTCCTCATACTTAGTCAATCTGTGTGCTGAGCAAGGCATCAGAGAATCTGGATTATATAAAGAAGAATGTGGTATCAGTACTAGAGGGAGGTTTATTAACAACCTTTGGTACACAGATGGCAAAATGAGGAGGATTTGAAGAACTTGTTGATGAAGATCAAAGACTGCAGCCTTCAGTATAGAATATGACTCATTTATAATATATGGATAAAATGAGTCAAGGTACAGAAGAACAACATCCTTACAACTGGACCAATAGGTTAGAAATGGTAACTGGAGAAAAGGATGGAGTTGATAAGGATTTTGTCTTGCGTGGATCTACAATCAATGGTCATAGAAGTGGCAGTCAAAAGATCATAAAAAGAGTTACATTAGGTAAATTTGCTGCACAAGACCTCCATAGAGTGTTGAAAAGCAGGGAGGTTACGAAGTTACTTTGAGGACTAATGTGTCTGACCCAAGCCATGCTAATTTCCATGGCCTCATATGCACGCGAAAGTTGGACACTGACTAAAGAAGACTGAAGAAGAACTGATGCATTTGCGTTGCGGTGCCAGAGAAGAAAACTGAAAGTCCCATCAACTGCTAACAGGGCAAGCTCTGTCTTGGAAGAAGTATGGCAGAGTGCTCCTTAGAGGCAAGGATGACAAGACTTAGTTTTACATACTCTGGACTTATTGTCAGGAGAGACCAGTCCCTGGAGGAGCACATCGTACTAGGTAAGGCAGAGGGCAGTGAAACAGAGGAAGACCTTTAATGAGATGGGTGACACAAGAGCTGCACCAGTGGACTCAGGCATGGGAACAATTGTGAGGATGGTGCAGGACTGTGCAGTGTTTCGCTCTGTTGTCCCTAAGGCCTTAGCAACAACAACAACAATCCTTATGGACGTAGACCACCACATCTTTCTCTCTGTGAGGTGGCTGGTGGTTTCAAATTGCTAACCTTTTGTTTAGCAACCAACTGACTGATTCTGATTAACCACTGTGCCACGCACGCTATTTTTTCCAATGCATAGCACCTATTACTATGTAGTGGGAGCAAAACCAAGTTGAGGGCAATCGACTGGTAAAGATAACCTTAAAAGTTAAGTTAAATAGTGAAAAATTAAACATTAATTATGATAAGCTTTAAAAAGAACACCCTTCATAAGTCAAGTGAACTTTCAGTTTTGATTAAAATTTCTATTAAAAACTCTCTAAAACCAAGTAGAGCTGAACAAATATGTACAAGTGAGTCTTTCAAACGACTCATTGATTCAAGCAGTAGGTATACTTTTCACTCATAAAAAATTTACATTTGGAACACCAAATGGCATTTTCAAAGGGAGTTACTGGGCTACAACAGTTAAAACAAGGCCTAAGGACCTTTGGAAGCATTAACCCATTGCATTCCCACAACAACAACAGAAGGCAAGCTTTATGATTACTCTCATTTTACAATTTAGCAAACTGATTCAACATGGCCCAGGGCCCTGCATTCTACATGGTATATCCTTCTGGTGGACATTTTCCGTTAGAAAGATCTGACACAAATGTCTTGACTCATATTATCCTGTTTTAATCTACGCTTCTTCGGGCTCTCCCCAGACCCCACACCTTCCCATGGTCAATAATAAGTCCATTGGCCCTATGACCCATGTGTTTACCCCTTTTTTTCTTCCTACCACCATAGCCTCTCTGTACATCCTTTTCAGGACTGACTTGGGGGAATCTTCAAAGTATAGAATTGACTAGAGGGGAGGGGTATTATGGCAGAGCCTATAATCAATAGATTGAATGTTGTCTTAGGCCCGTAACTGTGAGATTTTTAAACAAATCGCATGATCTTTTGGAACGTCGGTTTTCTTATTGATAATCTATGACTAAAGACACGTGCCTTGCAGTTAACTTGTACAGACTGTGGGATGAAATATATTAAAAGAGCCCAGCTCAAGCAGACTCAACATTCCACCAATTTTAGCTAAGAAAGAGGTGAGACAATACAGTCTATCCGTGACCCATTGCTGTGGAGTTATTCTGACTCATTAAGATGCTACGTAGGGCTTCTGAGGCTCTACATTTTTATGGAAGCTGATGGCCTTATCCCAAGGGAACATAATCTGGGCTGAATAAATTTGATGTCTATCATGACATTGTAAGCAGTCAGACTCTTACATGCCTTTTTTTTTGGTGTGTGTGTGTGTGGGGGGGTGTGAGTAAGACTTCAGTGTCTACAAGGAGTTCTGCTTAAGTGCCCAGTTCACTAAAGGATCAACTACTCAATTCATCAGCTACTGCTCACAAGAAAGATGTGACAGGCGGTTTCCATGACAATTACTGGCTTGGAAACTCTTGGGGGTGGGGTGGGGACTATTTCTCTGTTCCATTACATTAGTATGCGTTGGACAACTCAGCAGCCATAGGGAAGTAGGTGTTTTTATAGTTTTTTTAATAGTGACTACATGATAATTATGAGATTCTTAAAAATATTAAATAAGAAAAACCTATTTTATTGCTTCTTCAAAGTGGTAAGATAGCTTCTATTTTGAGCAACAGTTGTGAGTAAATCTATACTATTTTACGGTTTTCACAAGAACGCTTCTATTACCTTCGATATTAATGACCCCCTTTCCTTGTTTGGAGGAAGAAACTGAAGCCCACAATATTGATATGATTTACCTGAGGTCTTTTTGTTTTTTAGACTGAACCAGAATTAAAGCGCAGGCCATGGGGTTTCTTAAGAAAGAATTCAACATATTATATTAACATTGCGACTAAAAGAAATTACTTCAATGAGGGACAAAGCAAAGCTCTTACCTGTACGAACCATACATAACTTTCTGGCAGTCAACTAACAAGAATTTCTGTTCCAGTTTTCCATGGAATCTTGCTCCTGTTTTTGAAAGATAATCTTGGCCTTTTACTGTTCGCACTCGAATATTCTAAAATCACACATAAAAAGTACAATCATGGCTAGAAAGTCATTAGACCCCAACATGTAAGGTTGAAATGATTTTTTTAAAATGCATAACATGAGAAACCCAAGGTGGTTAAGCAAATTCTAAAACTTCTTTCAAAACTAAAACATTCAAAGAAAAGGATGATTTGAAATACATATTTTAAGCGACTTCTTAAAGATATACTTTATAGATATACTTTAAAGAGATACTTCTGTCCTATTACACAGAATGGGTTCATAAATCATGAGTATTCTTCTGCAGACATGCTTCTGACTTTCGTGATGGTAATACAACATGATGAGCAAAATCAATGCCACTGAAAAGTAGATGCTAAAGTTGTTAAACTGGCCAATGTTTTGTTGGATATCTTTACTACAATTTAAAAAAAAGAAATGCATTTTGAGTTATAGGAGAATGATTGCAAAATAGCTAACAAAATTCATTGTTGTTTTGAAAAGCCAGAAGTAGCTGAAATACTATGCCAAGTGGTTTTGATTAGCTACAGCTGCTGAATCAAACAACCATCTGAGGCTGTGCGCTCACGACTGTGCCCAGGAAACTGAAGCACTCGCTATAACTGGTCCCCGAGTATCAGAGGTGCAAGTTTCCACCCTCGGAAAATTACAATGTAAAACATTCGTGAAAATGTGCTGTTTTCTTAGTCACCTTCTGAGAAATACAAGGAAAATCTTCTTAGGGCATCTTAATATAATTTTCTATATTTTATATTTGCAGTAGCATACCTGTTAAGGTACACACACACACACACACAATATTTGACCGAGATGACAAAAGTACACTGTACATGTGAAAAAAACAAAAGAAAACGTTGGATTCTTACCCTGAGACGTTGAACTTGACAGCCCTGTTTTTCAGTCATTTTTAAAAAATGATTAAAATTTGACTCATCCAGTAGAATGTAAACAGATATCCCTCGAGTTGATGCTTCAACAATTTCCTTGAAAATATCCACATCTGTAAATATATCCATAACTAAAGCAATGACCTGTTAAAGATAAGAATAAGGAGAATTTTACTTCTAGCAAAAGGAAAGGACCAGGAGTGAAAAAAAAAAGGGGGGGAAATAAAAACCCCCTTTAGATACTGAATACAGTTTTAAATTATTTTTCTTCATTTTAGAAGAAATTACATAAAATTGAAAATATTTAAATACAAATACATGAACATGGAAATAAATTAAGGAGATAAAATGTATTTGTTTGATTTTTTGTGTGAGTTGAGTGCATACTTGTAGAGCACATTGATTTTCCACTCAGCGATGAACACATTTTGTTTTCTGACATTGATTGCAGTTGCCACAATATAAAAACACCCATGGCATTCGTCCTCTGCTTGCTTTTTCCACTGGTCCCTCCTTCCGATGCATGCCTGTCTTTGGAGCGCTATCCCTGGGCAACGCTGCCCTTTGATGTCATATGGTTGACTGGTATAAGAAGTGTTTACTTCCCTGCTGTTACTGTTCACACCATAGGGCTGTAGGGTGTTTGGCTGGAAGCCGGCCAAGAGGAGGAGGATATATTTTTTTAAAAGTATATTTAAATAAGCATGCCTCTATCTGCATTTATAACACTAAATTATTTTCACTTAAGCTTTAAGTCAAAGTGAATCTGCATTTCAACAGGACATTGAGTAAAGGGAGAATCGTGGATTGCAAGGTGGCCTCTAGGGTGGACAGAGAGGCAGGGTAAAAACCAATGACAAACATTTTTCTTGGGTTTCAGGAAGAGCAGGATTTCTGGACCTCGTTGTTAAAAATAAAGACCAGAGGGAACTGGACAGACAGAAACCGTTCTATAAATAAAAGTATGGATGAGAGAAGACACACGATGAAGAAAGCATAAGCGGACCTTAAGGTCTGACTATTAAATATATGAGTATGTGCCTGGGGTTAATTTACATAAAACATAAGCAGAAAGAAGAGGAAAGACAGACCGAAGGAAACAAAGAAAGGAAGGTGGGGAACTAAGAAAGAACTATGATTAAGAGAATATATGCAGAGAGAAAAAACAATCCTGAAAAGCCAAAACCTAACATTGTGAATCTGTGTTAACTGTTAGAAACAGAACATTAATGTTGAAAATGAATGAAGTAAAGATGGCGGGAGGAGACGAACCAGTCAGGGTGCAGTGTAGCAATGATGAAACATATAACTTTCCTCTAGTTCCTTAATGCTTCCTCCTTCTACTACATGATCCCAATTCTTCCTTACAAATCTGGCTAGACCAGAGCATGTACACTGGTATAGATAGGAACTGGAAATGCAGGGAATCCAGGACTGATGACCCCTTCAGGACCAGTGGTAAGAGTGGCAATACCTGGAGGGTGGAGTGAGGGTGGGTTGGAAAGGGGGAACCTATTATAAGGATCTACATATAAACTCCTCCCTGGGGGATGGACAACAGAAAAGTGGGTGAAGGGAGATGTCGGACAGTGTAAGATATGACAAAATAATAATTTATAAATTATCAAGGGTTCATGAAGGATGGAGAAGCAGGGAGGGAGGGGGAAAATGAGGAGCTGATGCCAGGGGCTTAGGTGAAAGCAAATGTTTTGAGAATGATGAGGGTAACCAATGTACGAATGTGCTTATACAATTGATGTATGTATGGATTGTGGTAAGAGTTGTATGAGCCCCCAATAAAATGATTTAAAAAAAGAAAGAATTATGATCAACATTTTAGAGGCCAGCAGGCAATTATAGAAACATCACAAAAGAAAACATGGCCATTTGCTGCTATATTAAAAACTATGAAACACACACACACAAAAAGAATGATTAAAAAAAAAGTGAAGATGGAATACAGAAAAATGATTACCTCTAAAAGAAAAAGAATACTATGTGCCAAAGAATGTAGAGCTTACACTCTAATGATGGAAAGCAAAATAAGAAATAAACATAACAAATTACATAGTAAGTAATAAAATGATCCATTTATTATCTGGAATGATGAAGCAGAGTAAAGGAGATTATTAATATCTGGCGGTTGAGATGGATGGGATTTGGGAGTTTCAGTGCAAGTCTCTGAGAAGATGCCCTTTGAACAAACACTTAAAAGGAATTACGGTTGTTATCCAAGTGGTTATCTTGAGCAGGAGTGTTCAAAGCCAGCAGCAATCAGCCGTGCAAAGTCCTTAAAACAGGAGGATGTCTGGCATGTTATCAATATCAATGTCTGACTGGAACGAAAGTGGTTGTCATCTCTGAAGGCATTATAAATTCTTTGGTGTCCTTCCTGACGAAGCTTGTATGGTCTTGCTAAGTATCACTCCTTGAGTTCCTAATAGTTCTGATTAATGTTTGAAAGGGGAGGTTCTGGAGGAGAGGAAAGCAGGTTGTATATGCCGATGGGTCCAGTCAAATAGTGGTTTCCAATAGGATCTGCTGGGCCAGGTAAATTTGATACAGAGAAGTTATCTCTTAAATTTATAGTGACTGCTTTTGGGGTGTGGGGGGGTGGTGTGGGGCGTATTTCCAAGGGGTAATATTGATAGGTTTTCTTAAAGGTCACATGATGATAATGGGGGCTTATTATGATGAAGTTTTAAGAAAATTGCAGAGATGAGAAAAAAGCCAGAGAAATTGGATGAAGGAACGTTTCCCCTTTTATGACGACTCACCGGCGCCCTCTTTGAGGGTATCAAGGGCTGTCCTAAAATAATTTTATTGGGCAGTCTTACCTCATCTACCTTATCTCCCTGATCTTGCCCCCATCACACTATCTTTTATGCCCAAATCTGAAGACCATTTGAAAGGAAGCTATTATAGTCCACTGAGGATGGCAAGACTGTCCTTTTGACTGGGTGTGAATTGAAGAGTGCAGAATTCTTCCGGAAGGGTGAGAAAGATGGAAACAGTACTTCCACAATGTAATACACCTAGATGAATGATCTATTGAGAAACAATAGCTTTTTATGTGCATTCTCCAGCAATACCATTTGACGTACTCTCATACATATATATGTAATCTTAATTATCTAAGATTTTCTAAAAACCATATATAAAAATCCCCGGATATTTATACAGGAGTTATGTTGAGGAAAGGCATAAATACCAAGGAACCCAAACTGTCAAAAAATAAATGGTAAGAGAATAACTTGAGAATAGGCAGAAGCAATATGTTAGAAGATTAACAAAGTCATGGATAATATATAGAATACTATTATTTACTCTAATATGACATTTAAACAAAATACTGGACCGTGATTACACAACCCAGTAGGTGAGGCTATTCAAAATGTCATCAAGCATATTTTATCCAACATTAACAAAGTAACTCAAAGTGTCTCATGATTACTATTAATTTCTTATTAATAAATGGGATTGAGGTACCAGAAGAAGGAAAATTTTAGTGATAAGAACCTCACACGTCTTGTGACCATTCTTTATAGCATAGGTGTGTGAAAAATTTTTACAGAAATATTTAATCATATAATACATTTACTCTGCATTAGTAAGTCATGTGATGTTGTATGGCCATTGAGAAAAGAAAGTATATTGTAAATTTATTTTATAAAATAAATTTTAAAAACATATTTATGGAGAAGTCTGGGACAAAAGCAGAAAAAGCAAACAAACTAGAAAGGCTTTTTCAAAAATAAAGAAGCACTATTATGTAACCTGGATTCCTGAAGAAATAAACTAAAGAGTATTTAAAGAATTTATTTTCTAATTTGCCCGAGAGTCTCATGTAACAAATCACTTCAGATTTTGGAAATGAACAAAAATACCTTATAAGAATAAATAAAGGTTTTTGTTTCTAGAAAGTAATTTAAGCCACCCAGCCAGTGGATGATTCTAGCAGAGCAAAGACAGAACAAAGGCAGTCTTGCTTGCATGATAAGTAATACACTGGCTCACATTGCAAAGAGACTAGATTGCACATCTTTGACAAGCTTAGCTGATGGCCGCATAGCCAGGCAGGTTATCAGGGCTTCTGTTTCTCTACACTCTTACTTCAATGTGTAGAAACATTAGATAAAGTCTGCAGAATATTTCTGCTGTGTCAAGAAAGGCAAAATAAATCAAAGCTCTTGTATTTACAGTAGGGAACAATGATAAGAAACGAGGCATATCAAACCTGACTTGAAAGCATTCCATTCCTAGTTATTTAACCAGATCACACTGCCCTGTAGAAAGGACCACAAATACTCAGTTCTGATAATAATGGATCAAACCCATTGTCAGTAAGTGGACGCCGATGCATAGTGACCTGTCATTGACTTTTTGAGGCTGTAAATCTTTATGGGAAGCCATAGCTTCATATTTCTCCCAAGGAGAGGCTGGAGAATCTCAACTACCGAACTTGAAGTGAAAAGGCCAGAGCTGACCCCGCTGAGTCACCATGGTATGCCAACTGATTATGCAAGTCTATGCAGAAACCAGTTGCATTAAATAGTATCAGTAAACTACAATGGTTTATCTATGGGAAGGCTTCAGAAAGCTCATAGAGAAAATGGAATTAAAAGATAATGGAATTTTTCCACAACATTTTTTTGTTTGTTTGTTTAAAATCATAAATTTTATTTTTGAAGCCTGCTCATATGCTTACAATTCTTCCCTCCTTCATTCCTGTTTGAGTCTTTCTGCATCTATTGAATTCTCAGGAGGTCTAAGTGGATAGCTGCTTGTCTGGTAAGAGAAAAGACGGAATTTCAAATCTATCCAGAGGCACCGTAGAAGAAGCTCCGTGGATCGGCTTTCCAGAAACCAGCGATTAAAAACACGAAGAAGCCCAGTTCTCCTCTGACATGACACAAGGCTGCCATGGGTCAGAGTAGATGTCATACACTCTTTCAATATACAAATTTTAAAAAACGAAATAAATATATTCCCTGGGAACATAAACCTTCGTAACATTTTAGAAAGCTATCCAAGAACTTTTAAAGATTTGAGGGGAATTGAAAATCTTTTTAGTAATTTCAGAGAATCTAAACTATCTTTCCCACAGTAATTTTTCTAGATGTGATCAGGACACAGGAGATCAG